GTGTGCTCTGCTGCATCACTCCCTTCCATTGGCTGGGGTTCCCCTGGAACTACAAAGAAAATGGGATTTAGCCAAACACACCAGACCAGGCCATTTGACTTCACAGAATGAGAAGCAGAGACGTCAGCAGAACTGCATGTCTGCAACGCCAACTTCTCCCAGGAAAAGGTAATTTAAAGAGGGCAGTGTCACTGTCTCTGTGTGACAAGCCTGCAAGTAGGAGATGCACACAGTTCATGCTGGTAACCTGAGTGCAACACAGCACGTGGTGAAAGCATGAAAAACCCAACAGATGGTAAGCAAGTGTGCATGGAATACCTTTCCCTTTCTTCCCCCAAAAAGCAAATCTGGAGCTAGGTACAAGTGCCAGAAGTGAGCATGAAATACTGAGCAACACAGGAATACTCCACAGTTCAAATGTTGCTGTCTGGAAGGTCTGGCCTCTCTGCAACGGGGGGGAAAAGTAAAAACAAAACAAAACCAACAAAAGAGAACTCTGTTGTCTGCAGCACAGACAGCTCACCTTTACTAACCCATTTGTTTTACTGCAGTTCCCAAACTAATCCTACTTCTAAAACAAATCTGAGTTAATGAGACTGAACATTCCTAAATGTTCATTAAAGGCTACATAATATACACAGACTGGAAAAAGTGACCACATAGCAATAAATAACTGTACAACCTCCTTACTGTTTTATCCACCCATACCTGAGTTTGGAACAAACATGTTTGCAGGAATTGGCATTGGTGCCAGGGGGGCAAACAGGTCTGATGGTGCAGGAGCAGCACCACTGGATTTGGTTCCACCTGGATTCAGGACATCAACATAACGGGCTCTGCTTCCAGCTGAAACAGAAAAACCCAGAAGTAACAGGGTTAAACCTTGTGTTAATCATCCACGTCTGTTTCCAACAGTCTGCTGGTGAAGGCATCTTTCTAAAGCAGAAAATAATGCTCCAGGGATACAAACAATAATACCCAGGTCACAATAAGAGCTGTGGCAGCAAACACAGTGCAGAAGCAGGGCACAAGCAGAGCCAGAAATAGCCACAACTCCATGGTACCACTGAGTTGCCAGCTTTCCCCAAACAACTCCAGAGAAGCCAAAACATCTGCCTTCATATTTTATGCAAGAGAAAATGTCAAGTCTTCCATATTTTAAGCATCAATGTTGCCTGTTACCTGCTCTTCTGGAGAAGATGTTGACAGGAGCACCAGGTGGGCCTCCAGGTCCAGGGGGAGCAGCCTGAGGACTTTTAGGAAATCCTGTTGGAGGTGGTGGTGGAGGCTTACTCTGCAGGGAGAACAATAAAAAAACAACCACATAATTGACTGAGATTTTTTAACCACATATGAGTCTGTTCCTCCTTTTCCTTACCTATTCCAGAGCACAAAAAACTGGGAATACAGACATACATCCAGCAGTGCAGACCAGTATTCCTCATGATCCACCTGATAACTTAAGGCATTTCTACAATGCATCTACACTCACTCTAAAAGGAAAGATTCACAAAAGTGGTTCTTATTTGTTTGTGTTTTGAGACAGATCCCACAATAACAAGGACGGACAGGATGTGTGATTTTCTTCACTATACAATGCATTACATTTTCAAAACTATAGACTCTCCCTACCTTTTTTCCTATATTATGTTTGCAGCAAATCAATTAGCAAACAATTGTCTAGGTGATGCCAACTTCTGTGAAGAGATACACTGGACTCAGTTCAGAGTAAGTCTCCTTGTAAATTCAACTGCAATTACTGGATTCACACCAGCAACTCCAGATACAAATGGTTCTATGAGGATGTAGACCATAAAACCATATAACCTGTTTATTAGTTTCAAAAAATGTTGCACATTTTAATCCAAATTCAAATAAATGGCAACTCTTAAAAGCCAAGAACAGACTGAAGAAAAAACTGAGCCAGTCCAGAGTCCAGTTTTCCACTTGGTGAAATAATGAGTTCTCACATTCTTACCTCTTCTTCTGGTTCATCCAGATTAACCCAACGTTGTTTCTGTTCATCCCAAACAATCTACAAGGAAATCACAGTCAAAGATTAGGAGCTCAAACACAGCTGTTAAGCCAAAAAAACCCCAACAAACCACCTCAAAAAACCAACCAACCCATCCCAAACTGTAACTCTTATTTTTTTAAAAAGAGCCAGTCTTGGAATAAGCACAATCTTGAAAGTTTTACACGTTTGTTTACTTGTCCAAACAATGTTCACCTCTCACCTAGGAAAATATTTTGAAAACATTAAAATGCATAAAGGTTTTGTGATTTAGGGGACTTACTGATTTGTTCTTGTCATCTGGAAGGTGAGCTTCATTCTTTCCTTTTCCCATCAGCCAGCGAAACCAGTTTGCACCAGTCTAAAAATAAATTCAACTATTCAGTTAATTCTCTCAAAACTGTATTTACAAGCAGATTAAAATAAATAGTCATACAACAATTATTTTCAGTTAGGGACTTCAACTCTGAGCCTAAAGTTGCATCTCAAAAATAGGAGTTTAGTCAGCACCTCTGCTATCAGCAACCTGGACCAGGTGTTACCACACGTACTAACAAATCTCCTCCAGTTCTAACTACCTTATTCAGAAAGTTTACCTTTCTAGGTGCTGGTTCCTTCTTTTCTTTTTTAGTCTCTTT